GTGTCAACTATGACAAAATAACTTAAAAACTGTAGTTAACAACCCGCTCGTCAAGCGTGCCAACTATGACAAAATAACTTAAAAACTGTAGTTAACAACCCGCTCGTCAAGCGTGTCAACTATGACAAAATAACTTAAAAAACTGTAGTTAACAACCCGCTCGTCAAGCGTGCCAACTATGACAAAATAACTTAAAAACTGTAGTTAACAACCCGCTCGTCAAGCGTGCCAACTATGACAAAATAACTTAAAAACTGTAGTTAACAACCCGCTCGTCAAGCGTGCCAACTATGACAAAATAACTTAAAAACTGTAGTTAACAACCCGCTCGTCAAGCGTGCCAACTATGACAAAATAACTTAAAAACTGTAGTTAACAACCCGCTCGTCAAGCGTGCCAACTATGACAAAATAACTTAAAAACTGTAGTTAACAACCCGCTCGTCAAGCGTGCCAACTATGACAAAATAACTTAAAAACTGTAGTTAACAACCCGCTCGTCAAGCGTGCCAACTATGACAAAATAACTTAAAAACTGTAGTTAACAACCCGCTCGTCAAGCGTGCCAACTATGACAAAATAACTTAAAAACTGTAGTTAACAACCCGCTCGTCAAGCGTGTCAACTATGACAAAATCCTTCGTATGAGGCAATAAATAATATAATATTGCGCAATAGGGGGAGGCGTATGTTCAGCAGTAGACTTGTATAGGCTGTAATGAATGAAATATAAGACAAGACATTTAGCGGTGAAATCATCCGAAAATTTACGGGCTATATGACAAGGTCTATACAGGATGTATGTTAAGTTTTTGATCACTTAAACGATGTGTAAAGTCAGAGGTTAGAGCATTTATTTACAGAGGCGCAAACAATCCGGGTTTGACGTCCGACGGCGCAAAAGAAATTTTTAACTTGTTCAACGATGAAGGAGAACAACGGCAGCAAACCTGTATCTCTTAAGAATTAAAAAAATATATCTAGAAGACGTGAAGTCCGCCAACATGTATTGGGGCAGCGCGGTGAAATCTTGTTGTTCTCTTGCACTAAGCATCTTTCAAAAGCTAAAGGAGGCCAGTGCCCAGTTGTCAATCCAGTTATTTCTGCACTAATTCAAATATAATCATAAAATCTAATAAGAAACATAGATACCAAAGTAGAGCTCTCTATTCATACATGCGTGATAAAAATTATTCAAATTCGCTGTAAATATAGGCTGTAATTTTTAAAGTTTACAGGTCCGTATTTAAACTTAAGGACACGGATATGGACGGATTTGAAACACGAGCTCAAGGTCCTCGGCCCCAAAATTTTGAAAAGTTTGACGTTTGTATATTAAAAGCTTACATTTTTGGTTAAAAATACATTTAGATGTTTTTATTTAGATTTTTTGTAACTTCCTAATGTCCAAACTTGCAGAGCTAAAGGCAACTTCATGGTCTCAGACGGCCCTGACGATTTAGGTTCAAATTAGTACAAAAAAAAGAGCCGTGGTAGCTCAGATGGTTAACGCTCGCTGTAAATATAACGGAACGCGAGTAACCCGGGTTCGAACCCCGCCGGCACCAACTAAATTGTTAATTGAAATTTTAAGTGCTGATTTACCACATGCTCGGGGGTGAAGGAAAACATCGTGAGGAAACCTGCATGTCTGGGGAATAAGAAAAAAAAATATTTCGAAGACACGTGAAGTTCGCCAACATGCATTGGGGCAGCGCGGCGGACTCTTCCTTGCCTTAAAACTAAAACCCTCTCAGAAATGAGGGGAGGCCTGTGCCCAGCAGTTGGACGTATCTTTAGTACACAAATTGAACGTTGTAAATTATTTTTCCTTTTTAACCATTGACTTATATATTACTAGCGTAAGGACCGGGCCGACCGAACAACTAAAACGGACCAGTGCGCTGGCCCTAAAATTACAGTTTAGGGCCAACGCGACTCGGTCGACAGAGGTGCACGCGCAAGACAGATTTGTTTGTAATAAATATGTCTAGTTGCGTGGTAAAAGGGTGCAAAAATAACGATACAAATATTAAATAGGAACATGGAATATCGTATCATTTTTAAATAACCTTATATTCATTTTGTTAATATTAAATTATTATATAAACGCATTTTTAAAAAATTACTTTACTGTTAGTTTAGTTACGTTACCAAGAATAGGCCAGAGTTGGATTCAAACCCTCAAAAATATTGTATACGGAAAATAATATATGGTATACTATATTTCAAAAATTATATCACGTTTGACGTTTGACGTTTCATGTTTCTTTTTTCCCATGTGCCGGGATTTTGGCGTCACGCGTCTAGTTTATCTATACGTTTCATTTTTTGTTTTTATTTCTGTTTCATTTTTGTCTAAAAAACTAAGTTAAATATTCAATAAGGGTAAAATGATGAGTACAAAAGAAACCATATCTGCTTAATTGAATCTGAAAATTAGATTCCTAAAATATTTTGAAATTCTGTTTTCAAACCGATTGCTTAGAACCTTAGAGTTTTTATATTAACTTCTCATTTATTCAATAAGAGAAAAAAAATTGTTTTCTTATCGGTCACCACGCTCAAAAAGTGTAACTTGATTTAATATCAAAGACTTAACTGCATAAATAAAATAAATAAATAATTATAATTGCATAGGTTGATAAAAAATGCTATGCAATAGCTTTACCGCGGCAGTCACCGAGTGCCACACGTATTTTTTTATATACTTTATAGGCCTTTTCAATATTAGGGAAGAAGGTCTTCGTTACTTCGCTGCCCGTACATTCTTCATATTTTGCCTGCCACATGTGTATTTTGTCTGGTAAGGCGCTTTGCGTACGACAAAGGGACTCTATCGTATCTGGTCTTTTGTTTGTTTTTGACAGCTGCGTAATTAGCCAATTCATCTGCTCTTTCGTTTCCGCTTATTCCAGTGTGCGCTTTTATCCAGTATAGTCCTATAATGCCCCCCTTTTAATTCGATTATTTTTATATTATCTTTGATTTCAGCAGCAATCGGATTTAAAGACGATGGATCACTGATGCTCATTATAGCTGACCTAGAGTCGCTGAAAATGTTTGCTTTCAGTTGGTTATCCGCTATTAGGTATTCTAATGCCCTCAAAACTGCCTCGAGTTCGGCTTGGTAGACGTTGCAATAATTTTCAAGTCTGAAGTTAATACTTTTTATGTCGGTGTTCTTGTTCCAGATGGTAACAGCAGCTCCCACTTTATTGTTAAGTTTACTTCCGTCAGTATGGACTTCTATCCAGTTGTTGGTTTTTTCATCGATATCTTGCTGAGAATTTATATATTCGAAATTATATTTCTTCCTTTCGGAGGGGTGCGGTAAGTCGAATGGGTTTATTCTTTTCTCCAAGAGTCTACCCGGTAAGGAGTCTATAGGTTTACCACGTTTAATCTCATACATAACAGCTTTTTCTCTGGCTCTGAGTGCTAAAGGGATTATTTTAGCCAGTAATGTACTCGATACTAGAGAGTTTGTTTTATGGCCTTTACAGATTATTATGCTGAAGAGCCTTGTAAGGCTGTTTAATAACCGATCCACGTATCTCTTTTCCGTAGTATGCGCCCAGCAACTCGCCGCATACAACACTGTTGGTTCTACTACGGCTGTATATATTGTACGGACAATGTCTGAATTGAGTCCCCATTGTGCTCTTGCTGCTTTAGATACCATTTTATAAAGATTTACTGCTTTGCGTCTAATTTTATCTAAGTGTGGTTTAAAATTAAAATTTTTATCAATCGTAAGACCTAATATTGTAAGATGTTCTGTATAATTCAGCTCTATTCCAACCATGTATAATTTAGGTGTATGGTATTTAAGTTTTTTGGTTATTATGATTCCTTGGGTTTTGTGCGGTGCAAATTTTAGCTTGTACTGTTTTCCCCAGTCTGATATAAATTTTAGGGTGTAGTTGAGATCTTTCTCTAGTTGTTCTCCATTGTTGTTGGTGCCCACCAAGAGTATGTCATCCGCGAAAGCTTGTACATGATTGTGTAGGTCTTCTGTTCCTTGTAATAGGGAGTCTATTAAGATGTTCCATAGTATCGGTCCGCAAGTAGAGCCCTGAATGCATCCCTTATTTGTGGGTCGCGTAACTTTTTTCCAGCATATCTTAAATCGTTTGCTCTGTTGGCCAGGTAGCTTGTTATTAGTTTAAGCATAGATGTTTCTGCATGCTTGTCATGTAGTTGTTTGATAATTGATGGCCACCAGGCATTATCAAATGCACTTTCAATATCCAGGGACACAAGTATGGTAATTTCCTTTTTGCACAGTCCGTTTTTAATAGCTGTGGTGGCATCGTATAGGGCATCTTCAGTGCTCCGTTGTGGCGTGAACCCATATTGCCTATTATTCATCTTATTTTCACGTCCGAGTTGCCATTGTATCCTGTTAACAAATAATTTCTCCAGTAATTTTCCTAGTATCGGTAATAGACATATAGGTCTATATGCTTTGGGGGTAGAATAATCTTCTTTATTCGGCTTTGGTATAACTTTAATTGTTGCTATTTTCCACTTTGTTGGAAGACGACCAAGCCTAAGACATTGGTTCATTAGACTCAAAACAGTTTCTGGGTTAGTTTTATACGCCGTCTGGCAGATATCCGAAGTTAAGCTATCTCCACCGGGTGCCTTTTTCGGGCTCATGTTGTTGAAGATGTGTTCAATTTCTGCAAATGTAAAAGGCTGTAGTATTTCTGGAGTATTATTTTCTAGTTTTCTTATTAATTCTAGCACGTCCTGCCTTAGTTTAGCTTGTTCTTCAGTATCGGTATCGATGCTATCCCACGGGAAAAAGGTTTCGGCCAATAGATTGGCCGATTCCCTTTCGCTGAAAATGGTGCCGTCTATATTACGTAGGAGTTTCTCTTCTTCGGTGTTAGAACACACTTTAAGAATTCTGTACTTCCGTTGCCATACGTTTTCTTTCTCTTCGGTACTGCAAAGATCTTTCCAACTTTGTGTTGAAGCAGTTTCTATGCTCTAGATATATTCTTCTCTTGCTTTGAGATTGAGATCTATGACACAGTTTCGTCTCTTGGGGTGCGCATTCCGAATTCTTCGTCTTATCCTAATAATTTCCTCTTTCTTAAGTTTAAGTTCTCTAGTGCACCATATTGCTGCTACTTTCTTTGCTTGCTTGGTTATTAAGGGAATCGCTTTAGTACAAGCCGATGAAATGCATTGCGTATATTTATCTATCATTATGTCCAGATCTTGTGTTGTCTTAATTTTTCCTATAATTTCCTTATTTACTTGGTTGCTACTTAATTCTGTCGTTAGTTCTTGTTTAAATACTGCCCAGTTAGCTTTCCTAGTATCGAACTTTCGCATGCTGGTAATCGTCTTTTGTGGTACAGAATTCTCGAGATTAAGCACATATAATATTGGTTTATGGTTTAACAAAGTGCTAAATGTTTCATCAACTCTCCAATTTTTGATCTTATTTATTAAAGAAGCTGAACACACTGTTATATCTATGATACTGGAGCAAAGCTTGCCCATCCTATAAGCTGCGAATGTTGGGTTGCTGTCAGTGTTTAGGATTTCTAGATTTAATTCAGCCATTGTCTCCATTATTTGAGAACCCTTTTTATCGTCAGCATTGCATCCCCACCAGACACTTTTTGCGTTGACGTCTCCAGTAATGACTTGCGTCAGTTGTCAGTCGTCAGTAGTCAGTTGCGTCCATCCTCGACGTAAATTGGTTGATTTTGGTAAGATCTTCATCAATATTTCCTTTTTCATGCAAGTAAATACTAAATATACCTATCTTAATGATTTCTTAAATTTACGCGAACACGTAGCCTATTACGATTTTATTATTATTAGTCCACATTGAATAAAACTAAATTTACGGATTTTATTTATTAGCTTATAAGCTGGCACAACACTTGGCAAAAGTACTGTCACCACTGAGAGGACATACCAGAGCACACACAAAGGTTTCATACCATTTTGTTAGTGAGATAAAAGACCTACATCTCGCTGACAATGAAACTATGGTCAGTTTTGATGTTCAGTCACTATTCACATGCCTACCTATTGAAGACTGCATATCAATTGTAACTAGGAAGCTAGAAGATAATAACATGCCTGCTGAATATGCAGTATTACTCAAACACTGCCTCACATCTGGCTATCTATTGTGGAAGAAAGAGTTCTACAAGCAAGTAGATGGTGTGGCGATGGGCTCACCTGTATCTCCAATAGTCGACGACATATTCATGGAGGACTTCGAGGAGAAAGCCCTTCTTACTGCTCCTTTAAATCCAAGATTCTACAAGCGGTACGTAGACGACACTTTCACAATTTTACCATCAGACAAAGTAACTGCATTTTTAAACCACCTTAACTCTATAAACTCTAAAATACAATTCACAATGGAGTTAGAGGCAAATAATTCTTTAGCTTTTTTAGATGTTTAGTCATTCTAAATCCTAATTATTTAAAACAATTGGTCACACTGTGTATAGGAAAAAGACCCATACCAACCGATATTTAAATGGTGAATCTCACCATCATCCTTCACAGTTTAGTTACCTTGGGTAAATCTTTGTTTCAGAGAGCACGAAGGATCTGTGACAGAAAACATCTGGCCGCCAAACTTCAGCATGTCAAGCAAGTATTGCAAGACAACAAGCTTTGGGTCCCGCGCCTACGTCACAGTCAACGAGTGAAGCCGGCCACAGTCAAGCGTGTGCCTGCTGTATTACCGTATGTCAGAGGAATCGCAGACAAGGTTGGCTACATCTTGAAGCGAGCTTCCATTAAAACATACTACAAGCCGCCGAAGAAGATTAGTCAATTTTTACCATCCGTCAAGTGTAATATCCCTCTACAAGATGCAGGAGTTTACAAGTTAGATTGTGAGTGTGGTCTCTCTTACATAGGTCAAACAAAAAGATTCATAAAAACCCGCGTGAAAGAACATATAGCTGACGTGAAGCACCGCCGCTCCGGGAAATCTGCAGTCTGTGAACATGTTCAAGATCGTCCCCACCATTACATCAGATTTGATAAACCACAAGTCCTCGCAAAAGAACACCGATTCCTACCAAGGATGATATGCGAGGCTATTGAAATTAAAAAAACATCCTAATTTCAATAGAGAAGATGGTTGGGTGCTGCCATCTGCTTGGGATCCTATAATTAACAAAATTAAACCCAAACCCAAGCATACCACTGCAAGACTTACAAGATAATGTAAGTTCGTTTTGCGTAAATCGGACCAAAAATTTATATTCAAAAACTGAAGGTAGCCGGGCTAACAATGACATTGGGACGTCAAACATCTCAGTCCCCCCCCGTGAACGTCGGGAATTAAAAATAAGTAAAAGTGGTGAAATAAACGCGATAAGATCCGTAAATTTAGTTTTATTCAATATACCTATCTTCCTATAATCTCTACTTTGATTGTGATTGTTACAATATCTTTTTCCGTAATGAGGTCTGGATTCACAGTGTGCTGAATATTTGGATCTAAGACAACGATTGCCGATCTGACTGGTTTACTTTTATCGTGACTAACTTTTTGGACAACGCGATACGTATGGCCTTGGGTAACGTGAGCTTTTGCACCAACATAAGGCTCTTGCATCAGTATTATTGAGAATCCCTGCATAGTGGCTGTGCGTAAACACTCTTGTGTTGCCGCACGCCCACGATCCAGGTTATATTGAACTTTATTGATTTTGTTATTGTCTGAGGTTGTTGTAGTATCAATTATCTCTTAGCAATAAGATACCGAGGATCTTGCTACCCTGTCCCATTTAGCCCACTCTGGACATTCAGAGCTGTAAGCTGGATAGCTTAAGGATTCTTTTTGTGAATTTTTGCAATTTGTGCATATTGGTGTTTGATTTCCGTTTGTGCACAATCTGGTATCATGCTCCTCAGAACATGTATCCGCAAACCAGTTTGTTATGGCAATCTCTAGCTAAAGGGTTAAATCCAAGACACTTATAACATTGGGTCAGAGGAGAGTGGTCAACGCATGGAACTACTTGATAACCTATACACAGCCTTTGGTCTTTTAATTTTGTCCACATTTGTGGTGTTACTTCTAGTATGATGTTGACTAGTTCACGGACCCTTCCTTTCGTTCTACGGAGTACTTTGGCTGCTTTCTGGGGTTCTGTTATTCCTGATGAAAAAAATAATTGTTTTTTCCTTATTTCTTTCTGATTGTACTATTGTGCTCATTTTCTTCTCGCCACCTCGAGGGTAATAGCTGAAAATCAGTGTTTGCTCTCTGAGCAATATTAATCGCTGAGCTATGACCCATTTGTTTAACTGCAACACACATGTATATTTAGATCATAAGTTTATGTATATTTTTTCCATAATACCTTGATTGTATATCTTTTTTAATCACTGAATTTACGTGTGTGATTGGAGATACAAATAAACGTTTTATCTATCTATCTATCTATCTATCCTGATACCAAGTTGTTGTTTTGTGTCACCAATGCTTTGATAAGTTTTTCGTCGCTGAAATCTGATGTGACACTTATTAACCTTAAATGCGGATTTTTATTCGAAGGTGTAGACACAGATAGTTTGGTGCACGAATCTCGAATTGCAGTTTTTAAAATTTTCCTATCTTCTTGCGTGTCGCAGCTGATAACCACTCTTTGGTTTTTGAATTTCGTTATCTTATTGACACCAATTCCTAGTTCCACTGGATCAACTCCTCTTTTTTATCTGTTTTACGATATCCTCGCTAGTCAGGCGGGGATCAATAGATTCAATAATCATGGGAAATCGGGGCGCACTCACAGCATCGGCATAGGTTTTTTGCGGTGGCTTATATGGTGCTGGGGCTACCCGTACGTTATTTTCCCTATCCATTGGTGGAGCGCAGGGGGGAGTTCCTTTGTTCATCAATCCAATCAATCAAATTTCCGCGATTGCCAATTCTACTCCCAAGCCTGAATTGCTTTGGAAAGCTGCTGTTTCAGGGCATGGTTCACTGATGAAGTAACCTCTGGTGGTTGGAATATCCTCTGTTGCTTTGTTAGACGTGGTAGCATTTTGTATGAGTACTTTTTTACGTAGAGCCGTACTGAGAGTTGGACTTGCAGCCCTGCTTGTTTTAGATGCCCTTGATTTGATTGAGCCCGTAACAGATGCGGTTGACTTACTGGACATTATTTATGTTCATTCTTCAGAATAAACATAAATAATGTTTCAGTTCAGTATAACTTGAACAGAAATAGAAAGCCGGTCTCAAGCCAAGTTGTTTAAACCCAAACACGACCGGTTTTGGTCGAATAGTGCCCGAGTTATCACGGGTTAAATTTTTCTAATATGGCCGACCGTAACTTTGTTTTATACTCTAGATCGGTATTTTATGTATCAAAATGGTTCGTGCTTGGTTCCACTTAATTACAGTCACCCACAGACCAAGTGCTTTCTGGCAAGAGTTTTAGCTCCGTCAGGCTGGTCTGATCAAAATGAGGGCAAACACGACCCTCCCCGCTCAACTGGTTCGCGAGAAATTTAACAAAACCGATTTCCAATATTGCGGCCAATTAAGATCAATTTCTCTAACTTCGGCACGGTGAAAGGTAACAAAGTCGTGTTTGGACTCTCTGGACAGCTCTGGGCAAAGGTATTACGAATCTATTAAGCAATAAATAAAATAATTAATAATTTGCAATTTATGAACCGAAATATTATAAATATACGCAATAATGTATATCTCAAAAACTATCAGGAATAATTAATTGAATTCTAAAAATGGCAACAGGATTTTTAGGTCTATTTTTAAATTGATTCTAAAGTAGCCGCAGAGGTCCAGAAGTGGGAGCACGTGTAAGCGTAATTTGATATAAAATGGAATATCTCTGTAATTTCAAGACGAAAAAATAAAACCTTTAAACAATTAAAAAATATATGTTATCGATTCATTTTTAAAATTAAAAAAAGGTTAAACATAACAATTTTTTAATAAAAGAGGTTTTCCGACAATAAAAAGAGCAGGGGTGAACCGTTCTAAACAAATGAGGTGTCACCTGAAAGGCCTAGTGCACCGCATCCAAAAGCACTCCATAAATTAGCCGCACGTAATTATTTCTCAAACCACGTGCCACGTGGTTTTTGAGAAAAAATCGTTATAATTAAACTTTTTTTTTTACAGAAAAAATCCGACACAAATTGCAAAATGTAAAGCTAATGAAATGCCAAGTGGTGCGCTAAAAATTTAGTAGGTTGCTGATCTAGATTTTGCAGCGTTCGCAGATATATTTTAAAATTTTACCTGTTTTTGAGATTATTTGTAGTTTTTCTACCAAATTTCACTCAGGAAAATTCCTATACTTGCGAACACTATACACAAATCGAAGCTTACACTTTTCCGTGCACTTTGGTATATAACACAGCACATAAGCATAAATTTAACCCACTTTTCCGAATTTTTGAACGCGGAGCTCAATCAAAACGATGCTTTCGGTACGGCGGACGGACTCGAACTGGGCAGGTAGGTTAGGTTAGGTTAGGTTAGGTTAGGTTAGGTTAGGTTCCCCCCCCGAACGGGTTCCCGCCTTGTCGTGGCGGGGGGCTTA